CAGTACCGGGATTTGGGTGTGAAGAACTGGGCTATGCCAAAGCCCATCAACAGGTCATTTTTACAGTAGCCCCTTTTAAACATCCTTTGAGGTAGAATTTTGCAAACGTGGTTCACTCCATATATAATAGTGTTGCACACATCCACTGAAGTTCGGTCTTCTGCTGTTTCATGTTGCCCTAAGATTTGCCTACAGTTACAAGCATCTGCAGGACAACGACACCAGTGTGGTCATACAGACATCCCTCTCCTAAAGGGGATGCAACCGACCCAATGTCAGCAAACAAGTTCTTTCTGCTGGTAGAGCTAAAAAACCTCCTGGAATACAATGAGCAGTGCTCAAAGGATGGTGCTTTTCTTGAGTAGAATGGTACCCAGAGGAGGGTTTCTAAGGACACTTGTTAAAGCACTTTCAAAACTGCCAAGTGCTTCCCAAACCTCAGCAGATGCTGGCCACACACTGGGACTGCTGCTGTAAACCAGCCTGGCTTTATCTTGCAGAGGAGCTTAAACTTGGGACCTAAACTTCCCACAGCCTTTTAAGCTTCTATTTCCATAAAGCTGCTACTGATAGCTTGAGCAGTCTCCGAATTGTGGATGATATTCTGCACCCCACTGCACCCAGAGAAGTCCAAGGCAGCGCTGTACATAAAGGGCAGCCTTACCTATACCTAGACACCAGCTCACCAACCGCCCGGCCGAATCAGAGAAATGCCACAAGTGAGAGAGCAGGCAAGTATTTCCAGGAACTAACCTTAAAACGCTCCTCACTTTTTCAAGGTATTTATAGCCATTGGAAAATCCATGCCAACATGACAAACAAAGCCAAATTCTTCCAGTGAGCATGCCCTGTGGCCACGTTTCATTTGCCAGAACATAAGACTACTTCCAAATCAACAGCAGTCAGACACAAAAAACTATTTTTTTTTTTTCCCTAGGCATGCGGAGGAATGCCTAGGACCGTGACCACAACTGGTTTGGAAGGGGAGGGAGTCAAAGACTACTTCAGGATGTCTACCTGGACTCCTGCCCTTCTACCACACCAAGAGTTCAAGAGACTTCCCCAGCCACGCTTCTCTTCCTGACTCATCGCTCACGTGGGGCAAGCTACCATTTCTAGCACTGGTGTTATCACGGGTTGGGTGAGCAACCGAAGCACAGCCCACATTCATAAACACCTCACCCTCAGCTTCTCTGTCTGCCTCGCTTGGCTCCATGAAACACATTCTCTATAGTCTGGATTCAGACCTGTTATTGGAAAGCAGAGTACAACCAGCAACAAAATAAACTGTTTTTCTGAGATGAAAACTCTTAAAGAAAATAGAAAGAGAGCTAGTAGTTGCAGTTGCTTGCTCATATCTTGAAGTGCTGCACAAGAAAGGAGAGCATGCAACAGCACAGAGCTTTGCACAGGAATCCTGACCGGGAGTGCCATGGGATGGCACCATGTCAAAAGCAGGTCTGAGCTTTTCTGTTCAGGAGGAACAGCAGAGAAGGAGAAATTAAAACGCAGGGAAGAAGTTTATACAAGCATTTGCTTACTGAACATGAGCATTTATTAACTCAGATAACATGGCAATGCTAGGAGTCCAAGTCTCTGAGTCACGTTTATCACTGTTGAACACCACAGCCCAGCTCTGGGGAACGTGATGCTGCTTGTGTTTGCACGCTTTTTTCGTGCTTTGCTGAAGCCCTTTCCCCACATCCCTTCTCCACAGCAATGCACCAGGACCCTCATGACCAGAGTATCCACCTGAGAAGGGACAGGCAGGGAGGGCACAGCTGATCTTCCTCCTCTTAGCAGCCACACGAGCCATGAGAATATAGAAAGGGTGGGTAGGGACAAGGAAAACCAGGAGACAGACAGGTAGTAAGGGGCAGCTACCAAAAAAATAAAGCCTTTTTTAACCATGTAAGTTATCCTTGGAAATAAAAATAGTAATAAGAAAACACAAGAACCTTTCAGGTTTTGGCCTTTCTTATGCTCTACTAAAATTCATTATTACCAACGGTAGCAGCTGTGAAAGAGCTCTGGCAAGAAGAGGTTTGCACAGCCTGGATGAAGGCAAGAGGGGCTCCACCAGGGATAATGGGGCTGGGGACACTAGAGTGATGCTTAAAGTCAACAGGCACTTCTTTACTACAGCAACGAATGATGGGTGAACAGCAAGAACATCAGTTCTTTGGTATTTAGTTGTAGCAAGGACCTATGCAATATATCAAGTATGGAAAACTCAATGAGAAGGCTGTCGTGAGATAGCATGAACCTCGGGATGATACCACGTGACTTTTTGATAATGACATCCTGATTTTCTTGGAAGACTGATGGTATCTTTCACAGCTTCAGCTCTGAAAGCTGCACAGACACACAATACCTGGTAATGACAGACAGGATCTGCACAACATAGTAACGTACAAACCACCTACCAAGAGCCACCACAAAGTGCTTAGTCCTCCCCATACCTCTAAATTACGTACGCCACAAGGAAAGCATCCGACAGCAACGGCTCTTCAACCCCACCAGGAGCTGGGGCAGTCACAATGCAAGGCTGATGCAACCCAAACCTGAGGACTCGAAGGGGCAATCAGAGGGTCTACCCTTCTGCCTCTGAGCTCTTCCAAACCCAAACGGGGGGAGCAAATCAAGACACGTAGATTTCCGAGGCCATCTGAAGTGAGGTTTGGCCAGCTTTAACTCTCATCCCTATCAAAATAAATGGTGCAAACGCTCCAGTCCCAGTATGACCCTGTAACTGGCTGGGCACTCAGGGTTTTCTGCAGAGCGATGGTTGAAGCTGGAGCTCACTTACGGCTTTCCGCTTGAGAATGCAGTCCAGCCGCCAGCGATTTCCTTCCACAACAGGTCGTTTCATGAAGATTTCTGGGCTCAGCCTAAGAAAATAAAGGGGGGGGAAAAACACAGCATATGTAGTCTGCAAACAAAGCATTGGCCTAAAAAATCAACTTGGTAAGCAAAGAAATCAAAAAGTTTATATAAAGTGGATGTGAAGGTTCATGTCCCAGAGTGATGCATTCTCCAACGTCATGCTCTTTGTTTTTTAATAACGGAGCATCACAGAGGGCAGGGGACATGTCCAGCACATTCATCTTACTATTCAACAACCCATGAGACCAAGTTTAACAGTGATGTATAAATGCGGAAACTTGGACTCTGTCTATGAAAAAGATGCAACAAAAGAAAACCCCAAGGTAGATTTTCAAGAAATGTGTAGACATAAAAAATAAATAAGAGTGGGATTTCAGTTCTCCTGGTACTTAGGCTATCTGAGTAGCATAGATTTGTGCTGAATTTTCCTTGCTGCCTAAAGACAAAGCAATATGATTTCTCAACAGGACATGTTATTGATTCATAGCTTTAAGGATTACAAGGAATAATTAAGCAATCTTATCTAACTGCTGCAAAGCAAGGTGACAGAATTTCATTCCTTCACTTTTGTACCGGGCATGGGAACTTGTCCTTGGTTAAAGCATAAAAACATGCTTCTGACTACAGCATTTTTATCTTAACTCCAAGTTACAGGTAAGTTTTGCAATTCCAAGATACTTTAACAATTGTCTGACTAAAACGTTAAGTAAGAGACAACGGATCTCAAATGTGATGCTCTTGCCTCGCTACCTGATGTTGCTCGTGGGGATCCAGGAGCATTGGGTTTATCTGTGGTCATGTTGGGAAACAGGTTTACCCCAGTAAATGTTAACATCATATTTTGTTTTCCCACAATTGCCACCTAAGAATTAATCCTTCCGGTTCCTATGGGCAGTGGATTAGTGGCAAGAAGTTCATTTTACAGATGGAGAAAGAGGAGCACAGAGACATGCCCAAGGTTAACGAGGACCTCTGAGCCGTGGCTTGGGAGCCTGCCCTACCATCCTGTCCCCACGGTCCAGGCTGGCTCAGCCAGATTAACCTCGACAAAGGCAAGACACCGGCAGCCGCAGTTGGCATCCAGCCAGGCAACTCTGCCCCGAGCCGGTGAGAGCACCCTTCTTCTGCCTCAAACAGGAACCAGAGCACTGCACAAACAGACTGAACTACTAGTTAAGAAGTGGGCAGAGCCAGGTCCTTTGGCAGCCACACAGCTCGGGGAAGGGGCGACAAAACTTTCCCTCCATTGTCTGGCCCATTTAAGAGCAGAGCAAAATTACACCCGCCCCCCCCAAGATGCTCTCATCGCTGGCACGAGGCTTCCCAAAACAGTGAGGAGGAGCTGAAAGGAGGGTCCCGTGCAGGATCGCATGGGAAAGGCACCATCAGAGGTGTTTGGGTGTCCATGTACCCTTACACACCGAAAAATATTCTAGCCCCTCGGGTTTGCAGTGATTTACACTCCTGATGAGCTCCTCAAGCCATAACATTTGCAATTCAGGTGGTGCCTTCACGCAGTTGCAGGCCTTTCTTGGAAGGAGACAACCAAGCTGTTGATTTCAAGCATGCGCTTTTGCTGCCAACCCTCCTGAAAAGGCCTTTGAATACAACACAAGGAGATGTTTGGGTGTGCTGCCAAACCATCTGGCCGCACGGCTAGTTGCCATACTGTAGGGCCTCCAAACAGTGCCACATTGTCGGGAACGTCCCAAGAGAGACGGCTGGTCAACATCCAAATATGTAAGTACGAACCACCAATCTGTGATGAAAATTTCTTCCTTAGCAGCTTCCATGGCATTTGCCACATCTTCAAAGTACCACTTAGCATTTACATACCTGTAAAAGCAAACACAGCACATCGATCTAGGTTTCCTCCCTTTCATTAAACAAAGCCCACAGCTGAAGACCGACAGGGTTCTGTGTTAATGCCATTTACATTCTCTTCTCAAAAGCAAACACAAACCTAATTTCAAGAATTAGGACAACACGCAGGGAGAATTTCACGCTGCTATTAGTAGCTTAATGAAACAGCACAATAAGAGATTATTAAGTGCCACTTGGTACTTCTGCCAATTGCACACAATATTCTTGTGTTTTGCTTGATGTGCGAGCTAGGTTTGGCTCTCAGGAAAAGATGGCAGAGTGGTGTTTGCTTTGATTTACAGGAACTATTTGGGCAGCAGTTGCTGCAAGGCAAAGGCTGCAGTGAGAGCACTGCAAGGGTTTGCTTCCAGCTAGAATCGATTTTTGAGATGCTTCTGGGAATGGCTTAGTGCAATCAGGTTACAGTATGGACAGGAGGATTTCTTGTGGGACTGCTGGCTGCCTAAAGCCCAGTCACCCTTAGACTATATCCAAATTTGCATTTGCTGATTCTCTTTCATTGCAAAGCCAATCTGCAAGGCCTGAATCTGATGCTGTTCTTCAATCAGATGAGTGACATTTGCATTTGAACGCATGCATGGTGCCTAGAAGGGCAATGCTGCCTTACAGAGCGAGAATCAGCCTTGCAAACGTGGTGAGCAGGACATATCTTGCATTTCAGAGCAGAAGGACGTGACCAGACCATGGGTCACAGGAGAGCACGGGCAGGACAGGCTGCAGCACAGCTGCTTCGGGAGGGAGCTATGGAGAAGGGAGTAGCCAAAGAGGCAAACGTCTTCAACAGCACCTGCGTTACCGTGGGCTTACAACCCAAAGACCTAAAAACCCTTAGGAAACAGCGTTTCCAGAATCAGAAACTGGGATAAAATTGAAGCCGGGAATATCTTAATGAAAGAGCGGGTCTGGCTTTAACTCATAAGCATCCTGCCAATTACATGTGCATCAAAATACCATTTTTATCATTACAATAATAAATGCCCAACGTGTTCAAATTCAAACGAAACTTGATGTTTCAAAATGCTATGAGCTGCGAGGCAAAGCCATAACAGGATCAAAGCACTCCTGTCACCAGTACTGCTATTCTGTTCCCGGTGAAGAAAGCCTCATTTTTTCCAACTTCTCTAATTATCGTCAGTCCCTACAGCTACCAAACGCCACCAGCTCTATCCACGAGACCCAGGCTAACGCAGGCAGGCGTGTGCCATCGCTGCTGCAGGTAACAGTGCCCGAGGCACCGTGACCCGGTCGCAGCCTCGCCGCAGTCCTCACCACTTGGCCAGCGTGTTCTCCTGCACGGCTGCGTAAGAGCCGAAGCGGTGCTCGGTGAGGAAGTCCTTGCCGTGTTTCCGAATGAACTCGTCTATGCCCTGCCTCCACCACTGGGCATGTCTGTAGCTGTTACACTTCAAAATCAGCGACCTGTAAAACAGACAATGCGTGGGGCAGGATGCTGAAGCCATGTACGTTTAATTGGGCTGCTCCTCGCTGTCTACCCACGTTGATAAATGCACCTGTATCAGTCATCTTCTATTTAAGCAAGAAGTAAGGACTTTGCTTTGTTGTTTTGTTTGCAAATGAATACAAGAGCACTGAGCTGCTCCGAGTGACTACCACAGTATTGCACTGCCAAGCATAAAAACAAATACCCCAGATTTAAATTAATAGCATCAGCTTAACTTGGAGGAGAGTTGAACCTAGCTAATGCTGTATTTTTTAAAAGATTAGTTTATACCGTATGCTACCATAAAAATATTAAATACGTCTTTATCCCAATTAGCGTGTCTTTTGTGTAATACTCTGGTTGGGATGTGGGACGTGCCCCTGCTTGCGGCATAGAGGAACAGAGCACCTAGAAAATTACTGTAAGCAACTGCTGCAAAAACAGACTGTGCAACTCAACATGCACCGTGCCCTCAGGCCTGAGCAATAACCACAAGGCTGGACGAGTGGTGGCTGAGGCTCCAAATGCCTCATTAAGACATCGGAAACGATCAGCATTACACAGGCCAAATCCCCAGCAGGTATAAACACAGCAGCAGCTGCCCAGGCGCTGAGCCCTGCGGGAAGCTGAGCTGCACCACGGCAGCCCGGCACACCTTGTTAACCCCTCCTGGAGAGGAGCATCAATTCTTCCTTATTAAAAAAAAAAAAAAGCAAAAGCAAAGCAAAAAAAAAAGGGTCTAAATAAAGACTGTTTCTTACCTAGAGAGATTGTCGATCTGCAACCCGTATTTAGTTTCTGTTTCCTTCTGGCCTATCTTAATGTTGAATTCCTTATCTACCAGCAGGACAAAGGCAATGGCCCCCGAGTCTGGCTTCATGTACAGCAGGAAGGAGTCCTTCACCACCAGCCACCTGTACGGGCACAGCAACCAGGTCACTTGTATTTCACCCATGCTGGTCTTCAACACATGAGCCATAAAAGACTAATAAAGTGAAAAGGTGTTTCCTTCAAAACAAGTGCAAATCATGTATCAGGGAAAGGAAAGCGTTCAACTAAAAGGTAAAATTTATTTTCAGGGGCTAGACCAGGTTTTCTTGAGCAGGAAAGTGCCTATTTTACGGGTAATGAGTTTGAATTCAATACAAGACTTTTAGAGTTACTTGCATGATTCCTTTCTAGTGAAGCCTTTGAAAATACAGGTTCTTGTGTCTAACGAAATCAGTGAGAACCTCCCTGCCCGCAAACCTCCCAGCCTGGTGCCCCAGCACCGGGCAAGGTGCAACAAGGATCCCTCCATCCCAGATTTTTATTCAGCTTTTATGTTACACCTAGAGGCGATATGGGAATTACTTGACATTTCTAACATTAATTATGATGCTAGGATCACTTTCACTCCTATCAAAATATATGAACGAGGCATTTTGAAAAGCTTTTATTGCCAAGCAACAGGCACCCTGTTAGAAACACATGATGAGAGATGACCGGCAGGTTTTACATAAATACCGTAGCCTGAAGGCAACTCTGGGAAAAAACACATTTTTTCCTGTGAATGGCATTTCTAATTTTTTCTCCCCCTGCGGCGTAGCTGGGGTAACCGGCCCCCTCTGTCCCACACAGGTCTCCACCACCAGACCTTCGCCTCATTCTTCTGCACACTCAGAAACACACAAAGCAACAGAAAATACCGCAAAAATCTGTTCATTCTTGTATCTTTAGTAACAGCCCCAGCTCCTCATCTCCTTCCAGATCCCATAATTTTTCTTTTCTTTCAGGGCCCTGAAAGAGTTATCCCAGCATCACCTCTCATCTGGTGCAAAAATACCTCCCCCCATCATTTGGCCCATAATTTCACTCCCAATCATACCCACAAAGTACATTTTCAAGCATCCCCCCTGCCCGAGAAGTCCTGCCCAGTCCACGGCATCACCCCACCGTTCTTCTCTGCGTCCCTTTCCGCAACCCCCGTGGCCATAACACACCCAACCTACTATAATCAGTGAAATGAATTTGAGGTATAAAACCCCAATGCCTACGGCAAAGCTGTTGTGGGAAAAGGACGGTCACGGTCTGCCCCATGCTCAGGGGGAGCTCTGCCCCCAGCTTGACGTGTCCTAAAATCCTTCACTTAAATAACCCTCTCTGGGAAATATTACTGTTATTTGCCTATTTATTGATACACACGCTGTCAGTCCCGGCAGGCCGAGGCGGGGATTCGGTGCCCTCTGGTGTTACTCTGCACATAATCCCACTCAAACACTTCTCCCATCCCTTTTTAGGCTCTAAAGGAAAAATGAGATCCATCGGAGCTGGATGTGCTACTGTCTCCACTAAAGGTTGAGCTCTGCATAACATAGGGAAGAGTTAACTGAGGGGCATCGAGAGAAAAAGGCATTTTTTCTTCCATAAAAGAGAAAAAAGAATTTGAAACAATTTAATGATTTGACCTGAAAAAAGGTCACATCTTCATCTCCTTGTGCACGCATTATAGAGATCTTCTGTAAAATCGCATTAAGAAATGTTGGAAAGACAATGAAGAAATAGGACCTTTCCTTCAGAAGAACGCAGAAAGATTTTGTTGGAAAACAGAACTTTTTAACATGAACGACAGCCCATTGGCGATGCGGAAATCCAACGGTGGATAATGTTTGGGGAAGCTCTCACAGACCAAGAAACTGTCTCCAGAAGGCAGGTATGTGCTATGTGGATTTTCAAAAGGAAAAGACTTGCCCGGGAAGGGAAAGCTCCAGGAAAAATACCGCTTGCATTTTTTGGATGCTAGCTGCTAACACACATACTCCTCCATAGCACACGTCTCCCTGCGCTGCAGCCCCAGGAAACAGCGAGATCTAACAGAGAAGGTAAAGGGATGGGGACAGTAAGTTAGGTCCGTCTGCAGCAGGAAGGGACATGGGAACAGGGTGGCTTGTGAAAACTCCCATGAAAACACCGGCATTTAAGCACGTGCAGTAATAAGGAAGAGGAGACGTATTTAATTCCAAGGTTAATTGCACCAAACAGAGCTCCCTACTGCTGCAGGTCACATCTGATTTAATCCAGCTCCAAAGCAGCCCAGATAATGTTTCAATTAATTGATTTTCTTTTTGTAAATTGAGGAAGGGAAGCTCAGGAAACCGGGCTGAAGTCTGCCCGGGGCGGTCTCACCAGCTGCGTCCCCTCCCGAAGGCACGGAGCCCCCGGGCGCTCCTGCAGCACGGAAAGCTGGGCACAGACCAGGGGATTATTGCCATTTCTGCCAGCTCGGGGCTGTAGGAAATCCCAATTTTCCTCTGGAGCAAGATGTCCCTTCTGTTATGAATTCCAATGCAAAAGAAAAAACTCACCACCCTCCATGCAGGAGGGTGAGAGGGGAATAACCTGCGGACCCTTTTGGCCTGAAAATCTGTGGCTTTCATAAAAAAGCAAGAATCTCCCTCACAGATGTTTTAGGAGGAAAAAACAAGTTTTTGTACGTGTGCCCGAGGAGCACACAGCATCGCCGCCTTCGCCCGCCCCGGCAGTACCTTTTGGACCATCGGTAGCACATCCTTCCTTGGCCGCAGCAGTTCAGGCCAGGTATGCGGTGGCCCCCGGAGCGCTTCATGATCAACCCTTCTCTGCAAGGACAGAAACACTGTCAGGACGGGCGGCTCGGCTCTCCTGGAGGTGCAGGGCAGCTCTCGGGTGGGAGGATGCTTGCTGAACCCCCCAGCCCCTGTGCCCAGGGATGGCTCCTGCCACCTCCAGCCATGCCCGAGCTGGCCTGAAGGCTGGAAGAAGGGCAAAAATACCCCCCCGGAAGGAAATCATGCAGGTTTAGGAAATGCAGGGCCCTGTTTTATAGCACAAGCAGGAGAACAAGTGGGTCAACAGGTTGTGGGGAGGGAAGGGAAGAAACCTCATGAGCCAGCCGATGGGCTGCAGCCCACATCTCGCAGAGCAGACCACTCCCAAGACCATTTCCCAAAGCTGTAGCATTTCTGTCTGAACATTAATACATTCTTAAACCCAGATGGCAAAACACTCTCCAGTCAGTTATTGGCGAGAAAGGAAAGCCATCAGTTTGAATGATATTTATTTATGAAGCCATGCTCTTGGTGAACCACAACTCACAAAGACACAGCTCACAACTCACATGCCCTTCGGTCCCAGGTCGTGGATGAATGACAGCTGGCTTACTCCAATGAACTCCATCTGGGGAAAGAAAAACAGATTTCGCCCATTTTTCATACTCTGAAATCCACAAAATACTTTGCTTCATCGAAGTGACTTGTCACAAAGACAAAACCTACAGAAGATCCTGAGCAGAAGTTACCCACTGCCGCTTAAGCTTCTCCAAGAAGACCAAGAAAAGTAGTTTGGTTGGGTTTTCTGTTTGTTTGCTTGTTTATTTCAAAATGTGCTTTGAAGAACACATTTCAGGCAACCAGGACAATCAAGATTGAACGTATCATAGGGACCCACCAGTATCCTCCCTCCTGGATCACTGGCTGAAATGAGGACTCAAGTTTGACACTGTTCGGGGGTCTGTGTGAACTTGGCTGGCTGCCTGAATCCCCTCCTTCCTCCAGTGACCCTCATAGAAAGGCTGGAAAGGGAATGAGCACACATACCCAGGGCTGGGAGCAACCCAATCCCTTTGAGTCCCCTACCCCATGGACACACACCACGTGGGGGTTCAGCCCCTCAACCCACGAGCATCCTCCAAGACCATCGCAGCAGGTCGCTCCCGCCCAGCGCTGTACGCAGCGGCCCCAGGAGCCAAAAACAAATGCCACAGTGGGGCAGGAGGAGAGCGAGTTCAAGCACATTCTCCGTGACTTCTGCCGGTCTGCACAGAGCTCCACGGCAGGCACAGCCTGGGAAACCCAGGTGCCATACTATCAAGTTTACCAGCAAATCTCAAATTCAAGCAACCTGCCTCCTCGCGGCTCCTCCTGCTTCAGCCAAGATTGCAGAGGAACGTAACGAGAAGCAAAGCCGGTGAGAAAGCACAGCATGATTACGTTCACCTCTAAAAATAGGACACCAGGCAATTTCAGCCGAGCAGGCTTTTCTTGGCACAGCAGGACATTCCTGACAGTCTGCTGGTTATTAGCCCTGGGCCCCGTTAGCAGGGAGGAACACCTGCCCCGGGTGTCCCGTGCAGGACAGGGCTTGGGCAGGAGCAGCCCTGCGACGGAGCTGCCTTGCATGGCAGAGGCTTGTCTGCACCCAGGCACTTTTAATTTATTAACGCGTACAAGTCCAAGTGCAGAAAGGTGCTCGGGGCAGGGTGAGGGCAGGAGTTGCTCTCCCCTTTGGTCAGGCAGCAAGCCCGAGAGAACCCTCTAGCCACATGTTTTGGCAACGAAGCCTGCTGGGACCGAAGCCCAGGACTCAACCCGTGCTCCCAACCGCAGCTGGGACACGAGATGGCCTCAGGGCCAGCTTCGGGCCATGCCCACCCATGCCCCACAGCAGCTCAGGTGCCAGCACCCAAGGAAGGGCTCTCCTCCAAGGTGGCCACCGTCACCTGCTCTTTGGCAAACCAACCTCAGGGCCCTCATTGGCAAAATCCGATTTTGCACAGGAATTACATGGGTGGACCCATAAGTCTCAGAGATATTTTCAAACACTAACCATAACAAAGAATATCAGTAGATTTGGGGCAAAAGCCTGCCCTGCAGTTACGGTGAGGCTGGCTCAGGCTCCCTTCCCAACACCACCATTTTTGCCCCAGAGAAGCAGCAGTAGGACAGAAGATCCTTCCTCCTCCTCACGCTCTGCCGCTCCTTCCCAAACTTCCCACATCAATAAGGTCACGGAGAAGAACAAAGGATCTGTTGTTCTCCTCCGAGTAGCTCAAGGACATAAAGCAGTCTCTATTCACTAGAGGCAACTTTAATGCCCTCATTTTTGGGTGATTTCAGCCTGTTTTCAGAAAGGGGCTAGAACCAGTTAGTTCATGCTTTTACTAACAATCTTGCTATCACCGCTCTCACTACACGTTCTGGAAAAGCTCCAGGTATGAACGAACATTTCAGCTGTTTCTGCAGTGACACTCGGAGCAGGATGGAGAGCATCCGAAAACCCAGCGTATCCTACAAGTTCTTATCAGAGGTCCCAAGCGAAGTCTCGGGCCAGTTCTTTGCCCTGGATCCCATTTTCATTTCTTCAGAAAATGGCTGGCATTCCCCACCAGATGAATCAGAAACCCAGACATCTCTCTGACAGCGGGCACACAAAAAAAACACGCACACGAATGTCAAAACCCTTTGAAAACGTCGGCTGCAACCAGAAAGCTGGCAGCAATATGAGCAGCACTGCATGCAGAGAAATAATTGTCCTCAAAGAAGCAAAAAGAAAAACCAGGAGGAAAAATTACTTGCAGAAACAGGACTACTACTACATAAAAAATGAAAGAAAGATTGTCTGGCAGCGCAGCAACCTGGATTCTTTGAAATGGCAACGACAGTGACAGGAGCCCATCCAACACGTTGATCACAGCACCAATTAGGAGCGTTGGTTTGTAAAAAAACATAAATAAGTTCCACCAGTTAGAAGGAAAATTCCTCAGTGCAGTGGAAAATATCTGATCGAATGATTTATTATCATTATTATTATTGCTGCGTTAGCTATTTTTACTGTGACAGTGCCTTTCATCCGAGGTGCTCGTCGTTCACAGAAAAACCAAGAGGGGAAGGCAGAGCAGCGAGGCGCTTTCATCTCCTTCACATCGGAATTCCGGCGCTGCCCAGCTGCCTCCCCGGGGAGCCGGCATCCCGCTCTGGTTTCAGAGCGATCCGCAGCAGAATATTTTAAGTATGAGATACGGGCCTAGAGAATGCAGTTTCAATGACATTGTTGTAGCAATAAATAAAAAAAAAAAAGAGACACAAACCAGACGGGAGTGATCAGCTGCAGAAAGACAAGCTATGAAAGGTGGAGAACCAGCTGCAAGGTGCACGGGCCACGGTTTTAAACCGTCCTGTTCTGCCAGCAATGTCGAGCACGCATGATTTATGTAAGCAAAAATTTCATAGAGCATCTGCATTTCAGGAAGAATTCAGCAGCTCCACACTGTGTTTTCATTTCGACTCTCGTTTTTAATTTAGTGGGTTAAAAAAAAAAAAACATAAAGAGTTGATTAGCAGCAGTGGCTAGCAATAAAATGAAATTACACCGCTGTTCAGAATAATATTTTTGAGCAAGATGCCAGCTATCTCTTACACGTAAAATTGGCTTATACTAAACCCAAATTAAAAAAAATATTAAATGTACTAAACTTCAAGTGCAATAACTAAAAATACTGAAGGGTTGGGTGGGGACCTTTGCAATGGTCTGCAGATCGAAGTGCCGTATCAGAGGCAAACCAGCAGCCACTCTCACATATCTGAGTTGTTCTTACGTTGTACCGCTTTCACTAAAGACAAGGTTTTTACACTCAATTACTAAAACTCATGCAAAGTGTTACAGACACACACACTTTGGTTCAACCAAATCTTATTTTTTATTTTGCTTAGGCATCTTTCAACTATTGCAGCTCATACAAAAAATGATGCTAAGGTCCAATTAATAAAATTTTTATATGGAATACCATCAAGCCCACAAGTCCCGTTTCCCAATGTTTTTGGGCTATATTCCCCCAATTTCCATTTCCCAGAAAAAAGTGTGGACAATTAACACACTGAGATTCCCACAACATTCATTTTAACAGTAATTGTCTTGAAGCACTTCAGCCCAGATGCGCTATAAAAAGGTTTTGGAAGGGACTGGAAGACATGAGATTTAATCGTAAGTCACATGGCCAAAAGGAAAAAAAAAAAAAAAAATGGAAGGCTACGAAGTCTGGGTCTGATCACAAAATACAATGCATCTACCAACCTATTTGTGAACTCCACACAAAATACTCTGTTACAATGAATGCTGAGAAATTAAGGGAAATGTGAGAAGGCTGTGAATTTTATCAGTCAGAGCTACCCAGTCAAAGCAAGGGACACTTGGTACATCTCTAAATGATGATGCTTCAGTAGGTTCTATTTCCACAGCCTGCAGGAGTGTCACCTAGAAAGGCGAGAGGATGTACAACCTCTACAATGTCAGGTGGTCACCATGGACCTGATCCTCAACCCACCGGGGACTTCAGGTCTGCAAAACTGCTACAAGCTCGACTTGCAGGCTCGACTCGCCCAGTGCGTGGCACGTCCTCGAGACAGTGTATGAAGTGGTGACCCTCTCAATAACAAATAATAAATTAACCACAAATGCAAAACAAAAGAAGCAAAAAAGCGAATCAATTAAATTGTGCAGGTCAGATGTAAAAACATCTCTGAGGAGACGCGATTGACCCAAGCAGGCTCTTCACAAGGACCAAGGGTTACACGTCAGGCAGGTCGCAGCTTGTCATTGCAACTCCATGTCTGACTTCACAAAGAATTTAGGATTTTAAAAAACACCTCGGTGCACGGATTTGATGAGAGGAACACGCAGGAGTCAAAATGTGCTCCGAGATTAAGACAGTTACAGCATTTGTCAGCGTCCAGGCAAAAGCCTTCTCAACCGCAGGAAGAGCAAAGCCCTCATTTTGTTCCAAGGAGGACAAATACAGTTCCAAGGAAGATGCCAGAAATCTTCACTTTAGTCTCTAGTCCGAGAATGGTGGGTGGTGTTTTGGTGGGTTTTTTTAAAGGAAACATGTTTCTCCCTGTGCTTTCTCTTCCAGCACTGCCTGCAGGACCCGCTGCACTTAGTGGTGCTGCCATTAGCAGAAAAGTCGTCACTGAACACTTCGCTGCGGCCAAATCCAGCAAAAGCCAACAATAAACTGAGAATTGATGTGCAAAGTGACATCTGGCTCTGGGGGCTGGGGACAGAAGGGCGATTCAGCGCCGGAGGAGGGGAGCACCCCACAGCTGCCCGGGCAAGGCAGGACCGCTCGTCTCCTCACCCGGCCCCCACCGCGGCAGCCTGCCTCGAACTAGTCAAAAGATCACCCACGTTCTTACACGAGCAGAAATTCTCCAAAACAAACAAAAAAAAAACAACGCCTGCTTAAGAGTGACAAGACGGATCTGCACTGTAAAATTACTCTCCCCCACTTTGCATATGCTACTGATCAAAATTGCCAAGTTACCCCAATCTTGCCTTTAGAACAAAAGATGACTGTTTTCCACATGCAGACTAACACAGCTCTTGACTGCAGTGGACCTAAGCTCCACATCCTGTCCCCAAAAGAAGCACTCTAAGAAACACAGGTCCTCTCAGCCCAGATCTGAAGAATTCTTGCAACCCAAAGCATGATGGCCAACCCAAAGTACGAGGGCCAACGCTGGACGAGCACTTTGTCCCATGCAACAAGCAGTGCTCAACCGAGCTCTGCAACAAGAGCACACGCTGCTTTCGGGCATTACATCCAGCTATGAGCTGCCCAACATCTCTACACAACTGAAATCCTGCAAAAGAGCAGAATTCCTACCACACAACAACAACAAAAGTTGAAAAGAACTGGCTGCTACAGATACCCTAAGTTTAGTCTACATTTCTGCCTTGTTTGAAAACCAAGTGTCCCCAGTTATCACCCCTTGCTCAGAAATGTCACTAAGCTCTGCAGCTACTTAATGCATGCATCAGGTTTTGCTGATAATACAAAAGACGGAGTTACACACTCATTATGCAGCCAAAAAAAGGGGAAATAAATTACTATCCCAGGGAGATGTTACAGCTGCAGCCGACAGGTGAGGGCTACTGAAGAAACATTCGAGGATGGCTTTCAAAGGAAATATTTTTGCTTAAAATAGGCCTGAAGTTGGATTTGACATTTCTCCTCATTTCAACAAGACTATCGACTTGGGGAAATAAGCCAATTACCATCTTCCTTTGGAAATGACAAAATACCCACAGAGGCAATGGGTATCACACACACACACCCGATGTCCAGCGAAGTCCAGCAAAATGGCACAGAATAGGAATCTGAGACAAATTTGCACCCAGGACCACACGCAAAGCCCAAACGGAAGGGGTATGGTTTGGTCTCCAATTGTTTAAATATTTAGAACTTCAACTTATCACATTAAACCTTTCCCAGAATTAAACAGAAACCCACTACATCACGCATGTACAATCAGCTGTCTGGACTGGACCACCTTGAAGAGGTTATCACTGTGTTATAATAGTGACCTCCAAGAGTGAGCCATTCATTCCCCTTCTTCAGTTTTAATCATATTACATCCGTGTTGGAGAAATCAGCTAAGCCAAAAAATGCTTGCAAAACGGTTGTAAAATGTTTCTTATATAAGCCGCATGTCTTCTTGCAATGAATTCAACATCTGTAAAGTGAATATTCTTTAGGCATTTAAGCAAACTGATTTCTACTTACTGTTCCATGGTAGTTCCTGTACATCGGCATTTTTAGGATCTTTGCCAAGTAGTCTTCCAGCTGTTTCTACAATTAAAACGTTGAAACTTTAGATAAGATGCAGGAATTTTCAAGAAAAAACCACAATCCAACTGTCTGGCATGAGAAAGCCATCAAGAAATCAGACACGCTTTTCAGCTTGAAAGGATAAATAAATACATTATTATGTGCTCACAGAAGATTATAGCTCAGCAGCATAAACAGTTCAATCACGGGTTGTTTATTATTCACAGATCCATGTTTGTACCTTCCACCAGCAGACCTGTTGCTTGGAACTATCATTTGAGAGGTCAACTTTCTTGGCTGAGCCCAAGTTTCAGAACAATTTTAAATACAAAAATCAGTCCCCGCTGTTTCTGACCCACGAAGCGAATTCGCTTCATGAGAAAACACAGCCTCAGACTCAATCGAGAGAGCCTATTTAACCAAAACACCAGGTTCGCGGAGTGAGGAGCACGGTGACGACGCTGCCCTGTCCCAAAGCCATGGAGAGGGCAGTGGCCAGGCCACCGGGCGCTGGAGAGCCTGTCCTCCCCAGCCAGGAGTGGGGAAGAGAAGAAACCATTATAGGAGAGAGAATCTCTTCCCATCCTCATGGTTACTGGGCAAAGAAGAGATTAAGCTGTTTGGGCATGGGAAACCGGGCAGACTCCTATAGGACACAAAACAAACCGAAAAGAAACAAATATCGTTGGGACTTTTGCCCTTCTCGGCGTTAGCATCACAGCACTGAGATACCCAGCTGGGCAGCAGGGTTATACATCCCCGTGGTGAAAGCTGTGGGATTCCCACAGGGAAACCAAGAGGAAAAAAGGAAAAAAGGATCTAGAAAACATTGTTTTTCCTCTTTTAAACCAACATCTCTCTCCTCAAACTTGTCGCACAGCGTCAAAGCTGTGCGCAGCAGGGAGGGTTATCTGCACTGCACAGCCACAAGACACAAGCTTTTGGGACTTGAGGCTTCAGCGGCAGAAAGCCCAGGGAGGGAGCAAACAGCAGAAAGAGAACGATAAGCACAGGGTGAACGAAGATGGTGGGTTTTTACAGACTTTTTTTTTTCCCCCTGAACAGAGAAGCTGCAATGATGAGGTAGGAAGACATCCACGCTCTTCATAGAAGGGCCCATCTGTTAACATCTGATGAAGTTACACAGAACACGTGTGCCTCGGCTAAAATTACCCACTTCAGCATCAAGAGCCTGACTGTCATCTCCTCTTTCAGAGAGGGACAGGACTGAAATCTCTCAGATTTTGGTGGCCACGGGGCTGCCTCCATCACACAACTTGAGTCTGCGAACTGCCTCTTCTATCTTTAAATTGGAGCACGTGGGAGGAGGGGAACCACCACTCTGGGCGTCGTGGTTTTGCTCAACTGCAGAGGAAAACTTCACCCGTATGAACCCCGGGAGCAGCACCCTCCTCTTTGCACAGAGGAGAATTTGGCATTAAAGCTGGACTTGTCAAAGCCTAAGTTTGTCAAGCAAAAGACTTTAACGGTAATAAAACAAGGGCTTTGATAGCCACATGCCTGGCATCTCTGCCCCTCAGAAGCCCCCCCAGAGCATCCCTCTGGCCCCCGCAGACCGAGCCGGGCGCTCACCCTCCTGCTGGAGAAGTGCTCTTCCCGCACCGTGCTCTCCGAAGTGTGCGGCAGGCTCGGCATCTGCCTCGGTTCTCCCCTTTTGATGGATTGTCTTCTCACCGTGTGACTGGAAGGAAAAACAAACCCGGCATCGAGTCTAAGTGCTGCAAGTGCGTGTGTGCCTTGCTCCGTAACCCTTTTTGTGCGATGCTTTTATTTTTCCCATCCAAATTCTTAAAAACCGAGAGATGGGTGGGCAGGAAAGCAAAAAAAAGCAAGCATGGATTCATTTAAGAAGCCAGTCTGCTCCAACTGGCTCACAAAACAAACATACAACACAGAAATATCAGAGTTTGATTTTTCAGGGTCCCTTTTTAAGGAAAGGAAGCCTAAACCCTATTTTTTAGGGCATTATGTTCCCCCAGCCCTTAACCCCCTCATAATTTCACCTTTCCTAATATCATCTCCCCACATTTCTCCACATCAGGAGGCTCTTGCCAACCCACACCACTTCTCTTCCCACTTCTCTTTCCCCCTATGCTTCCAACCACCCCAAGGCAGGGCTGCCCACCCATGCTGGGGACCCCCACGCCTCCCGCATGCCGCCCATGCTGGCGGAAAGCGACATCGCACCAACAATTTCCATTAGCATTAGCATAACCCTTCCCCAACTTCAAGGCAAATTCAGCTCAAAAGTTGATAACCTGGGACCCAACACGCTTTCTGAGTCAGCAGGGAGATGCTTGCACCACTTAGGTTATAGCTGCTAAATATGTAGAGATTGAACTAAAGTCTCCTTCTTACAGCAAAGAAATGGGATTGGTGAAGCCACACCGATATATTATTAAAAGAGGAAAGAAAATCGCGTCTTCCCAAAGCCCACCGCGTCCGCAGGGCTGCACACTCACCTCCTGGTAGGGATAGGGATGCGCACGAAGGCTTTGTACCTCAGCAGCTCCCTGTGAAACTCCTGGAAGTGCTTGAACTTCCTTTTCACCTGCCATGTGAACTCTCCATGGGTCAGCTCGATCGTGTAAACGTTGGGGCTTGGTACCTGCAGAGGAGAACACCACCACAAGGGTTGCAGCTTTGAAATAAGTCACCTTCCTGCAACTGGTCATCTAAAGTGCCCTCGTTCAATTTTACTTAGCGATCATTCTGTCTCACAGTTTCTTGTTATTAGGTTTTATAAACAGACAGGAAACCTCTCGAGCGTTTTTCTGAGACACAGGCATTCCGTCTTCCTCAGCTCATGAACAAGCATGTGCAAAATTAATCCACAAACGGCATTTTAATACAGTTCTATGGACATTAAATGAAATTTCTAGAAGTTCTGACCTTCTTTGTGGAAGTAAAGCGTTCAACTTCCAACACACGCACTCGAACAGGACATCCCGTGAGGTACGTCTGCGTGCCCGGCTCTTTGAACCCATGGGTGTGATAGATGGCAGAGAAGGGAATGCACACTGGAAGGACCACAAACCCCGTTAGCTCAACAGCCTTGTAACCACCGAGGGCATGAAAGCCAGCAGACAGTTGCAATACTTTAACATGGGAGCATTTACACAGCAGAAGTAATTCCACTAAAATATACCAGGTTTTATCTAAGAGAGCTTAAAGACAAGCCTTCACAGAAGGGACTTGACTTGAAGAGCCTCCAGGTCCTAAAACAGGGCCGATGGCTGGGCTTGGTAAAACCACCTACGTTGTACCCTATCTGTCAACAGATTATCGGTTATTAAATCCAGGTGGGACGCGGGGTGAGAACGTACGGGTGTCAACTCACCGGCGCCTTTTGGGTCATTTAGCACCTCTGAGTCGACCTCCTCCCCCTCAAAGTGGAGCTCCCTGGTGTCCAGGCTCTCGATGATATTGCTCATGTCTGCAGCAATCTTCTTCAGCGTCGACGTAGCTGCATGGCTTTCAGCTCTCAGTGACATCTCAGGGACGCGCACGCCAGAGCCACGGGGGGCTGGAGAAGAGGAAGGAGCAGGGCTGTCATCAACACCGGCACAGGGGGGGTGAGGGAAACCCCCAGCCCCTTACCCACATTCATCCCAACTCTCCCCATCCTACACACCCAAAACACCCAGCCCGGCAGCTACAGTAAACCACTGCCCAGAGCAGTGAAAAAGCACAAATAGCTTCAGGCTACAAGAGAAAATTTCCCCCCATGTCAGTGACCACAGGACTCATACACTCCAGTTGTACTTTAAAATGGAAAATACGTAATATTTCACCTTCCAGCTCCAAAAATCTGCAGGGGGTTGGTTGCGGCTTAAGAGTACCTTCACATATTGATTTCAAAGGGAAAGCAAGGAAAATACGTAATTTCTCCCCTCCCAGCCACAAAAATCTGCAGGGGGTTGGTTGCGGCTTAAAAGTACCTTCACATATTGATTTCAAAAGGAAAGCAAGGAAGCTTCTGCATCAACTCACCTGGTCACTCAGCTATCTCTGCAGTTAAGAACGATGCACCAGGAAAAGCACAAACTGTGTTAATGCCTGGCCAAATCCTAGACCTAATTCGCACGACGCTGTTTCCCAGGCTAGGCTGCACGGAGGAAAAGCTCACTCAGAAAATCAGTAGGCGTTTTTGTTAAGTGTTCTTCCTTTGATTGAACTAGTGATATAAACTCCTGGGATTATTAAGATTTCCTCTATTTCTATGCACCTTACACAATCGCCCATGGTATCTGCATGTCTCATGCTCTCCCACGGCTCCGTCCTCTCAGAAGTCACAACAGCCACGAGGCTCCCATCCGCGGAGCAGAGCGGGGTCAGGGGCACCCCAATGCCCAGAGAAAGTCTGGGAGCAACACGAGTGGATGCTGCAGCTTGTCCTCCCCCCCAGGGAGCTCGCACCCCTTACACAGCCCCGGGGGCTGCAGGGGACCAGCCCACCGTCCGTCCACAACAGGGACGGCCGGCAGCAAACGCAGGGAAGGCTGTTGTCTGCTCAGGCAGTGGCACCTGGAGATGTTTGGGCACTGACGACTACAGCACCTCCCACCTTCATCCCCACCCACCCATGCCAAGAGCCTGAGTCAGGACAAAAACGGGGAAGGAAGAAGAAAAGAAAAAAAAAAAAATTACAAAAAAAAAAAATCAAGATGCAAGGCATGTCCACTAACACTGATGCAAGCTTTCAGTGCTTGTGAGTATTTGCAAAGCTGCTTCTTCCTCCTCCTCCAGGCTCTGCAACTCATCGTGGGGCTGCAGACCTGGCTGCTGGTCCCTGCACGCAGCCAAGCTCCAGCTCCTGGGCGTCTACGTGATAAGAAGTCCCTTCAGTCTTTGTTCTGCTCTGCAATAAGTGTCACAGCCTGACAGCTACACTGAAAAAATACAGACCGGACAAACTGGCAACATTTTACAGAAGCCAATACAAGGATGCCCATTTATACCCATGGAAGCTCTTACGTTGTGAGAAAGAATGATTTAAAAAAAAAAAGTGCAACATTTCTGCTGTTAAATTCTGCAAAGAACACTGTGCAATTATTCCTGAGTGAGCTCCATAGAAAGAGCTGGATATGCCGTAATTTGGAAATAATCTAACATTTTAATAATTCATGTGTTTAGCTGCTTTTGAAAGAACATTCTTTATTATCATTTCCTCTTGAAACAAGTACATAATTTTATTACTACATAAGGTTCAAAAACATGTTAAAATCAGTTGCCTTCAGAAAAAAAAAAAATCCATTTGCACACAGACTTTAACCACGAAAAACTGGATCAATCTCTTCTCTTATACCAAAGTAAATGCAGAATCAACAGCTTCATCTGGAAGCGAGGGCTCCGAGGGTCTTGGTGGCTCAGCCACCTTCCACTGGTGGCTGGGAATGCCACCACAGCACTTAAGGCTTTAGGACCAGACTGGGGGCTCGCTGGACCAGCACGTCACTTCAAGAGATCCGTCTGATTAATTCAAACACAAACCCGGGTACCTCATTCCCCTTCTGTCCGGGGAGGGCAAAAAAGGAATTTGCACTAATCCTCGCAGAAGGAGATACACTGAAACGTGGGACGATCAAGCCGCTGATGTTACCCACTGCTCTACCCAGTCTGCACAGCCTCCCTGCCGCGGGAACTCCACGCCTCCCGCTCGGCACGCCACGCAAAGAATGTTTTTGGCCATCTCTAGCTGGAAATAAAGCAGCATCTTGATTTATATTTCTTCTGTCTGTATTCCCATTTGGAAACAAAGCACTGTTTGGTGGTCTGGTTTTTTTTTTTTTCAGTCTGAAGAGATGCTCTTGCTTCATGGAAACTTAATGCACTTTCCAAAAGAAGAGGTTTGCACAGTCAAAGAGAAGACAAGCCTGAATACACTTTGTATGTGCCATGCCAGCAATTACACTTGAAGGAAACCAGCAAACAAATACCACATCGACAGGGCTGGAGGAAGAGCAGGCGGACAGGAGCCAACAGGGAAAGGATGTGCATCCTCCCTCCTCCTCCCCTCCCGCCGTGCCAGGTACGGCCGGGCTCCTCGTGTCAGATTAATTGACGCAGTCGGTTAATGGATAAACAATTAACCAGTGTGTGCAACGATTATTTGCTAAGGACCACAGCAGGGCTGCATAACTCAGGATTTTTTTTTTTTTTTTTTGAAAGCTAAAGCTGTTTTCACAGCTGGCACAGCCAAGTCCTGGGATAAAGCAGAGTCCAAACGCAGTTGGACCCAAGCAGCAAGATTCCCCCGTTGAGATTAGAGCCAGATTATGGGCTCAAGAGGAAAAACATGACTTTGCTATGGCCCAGCCAAGAAGCCCCATGAACCCGGGCAGTGGCTGAGCTGCCCCGTCACAGCCGGCTGCTGCAGAGCCGGAGGGCACGGGGCAAACCCAGCCCCGGGCAGGCAGGGCTGCACGGGGGTCAGCTGGAAAGATGGGACGTACCACGTCCCTCTGAAAGCTTCTGTAAATTGCTTTATATGGCTCTGCTCGGTAAGAGCTATTTAACCTCTTGGCCAGAGCTCTCCATGTGGACACCGTCTGCATTCCCACAGGCAAGCTGAGGAATGCGCCCGGGTTAATCTGCAACAGGCTGGGTGCAAGGCTGGGTGCAAACACGTGCCAAGCACGGCTATCCGTGATTCAGCAGCAAAACAGAAGGGCTGCATCAAGAAGGCCCTGTCTATTCAGTGCCACTCACCGCTTCCACTAATGATGGACTAGAGAACGGGCTTATAAAACTTGCTGATATTGCCAGCTTTGGAGGCTGCAATTACGTGAAGGACAGAGAGGGAACTCAAATGGTACTGGCAAACTGCAGGAGGGTGGAAATAATAGGATGAAATTTATTAGAAACAAGTGCTACATTTCAGTATTTGGCTGCTGCCATCCAGGATAGAAAATAAGCAGCAGTTTGTCAGAGGGGAAAAAAAAAAAATAAAAAAAAAAAGAAAAACAAAAACAAAAGGAAAGACCAGGGTTTCTGTGGGTCAAGAACCGGCAATCCGAACAAAGGCAAGGTGCACAAACAGGGCTACTGCCTGCAAGCCAAAAAGGAAGACGGGGTGCAGAAGATGGGAAGAGTCAGGTCTAAAGCACTTGACAGTGAGAACGCAGTGTCAGGACTGAGAGGAGGAAGAGACTTGGACGAAACATGACAGCAGTGTAGAAGACTGCTGCGAGCAGGACGGACAAGAGATAATTGCTCTGAATTGCAGGTTTAGAGCAGAGACATAGTCCAAGAGGGGTTTGCCAGTCCCCAGGGCTGTCTGGAAGGGCAGGCTGCCCTTATCGACCTTCCCGGGGCAGGGGAGGAGGAACAACCGTCCCAGCTCCCTCCAGAGACCCCCAGCACCCACGTACCCAAACCTGGCGCCTGGGCAGCCAGGAGCTGGCACGGCGACCTGCATATTAACAGAGGGAAGGCGCTGCTCCGGCTTTATCCAGCTCAAAGTCTGCCTGGGCAAACCCAGCAAGGAGGAAAAACCAATAAAAAAGAGTCAGTAGTAGAGGAACACTTTGGAAAGAATGAACAAACAAGAAAAAAGGGAGATGGTAAAAAAGTTGAAAAAGGGCAAAAACATACTAAAAAAAACCCCACAAACACTGCTGACACCACGTTTGTCCAGCCCAGACTAATTATTTCCTCTTCCAAGCACAACTTAAGCTCTCTGACTCCCTTCGCCTGGCTGTCCCCACAGCACATGGGCCCCAAACCTCTTGACCTAGTGAAATATATACATTGGAAATAGTGACCGCACCAAGAATCAAGGTTTCAGCTACAGGAAAAGTGACTATAAAAATCAAAAGTAACTATATGAATCCCTGAGCCCTTATGAATGTATTGCAAACCCAGAGCCCAATCCTGCAACTTTGCAAGCCTGACATCTATTTTTGTTATTTGCCATTTTGGTTATGCTTTAACCTAAAGTTATTACTTAGGGGATCATATGACAATCTCAGCCTTCGCTAAAGAAACAGCATTTTCCTACTTGTTGCATAGGACAACAAAAGCATGGCTTTAAAGGCATGGAAACTGGAAGGCAGAAAATGCATCTTTTCATAAATATTCATGAACAGTTCTGTGTTTTGAAGACATTTAAGTCCTGATGTGAAAATTTATGCAGCTGGTAATAGCACAGACTACCTAAAATTTGGTCAGGCCAAGTTTATTCTCTTACACATACTGTGGCAGATCTGCAACAAGCTCAGATAATCACTGCTCCTTAACGAGGTTACGATGCTGAAAAGCACCACACAGAGCTATGAAACCAAGAAAGCCTTCATTTGGGAAAGAAGGGAGGAGGGAACAGAAAATACATCCAGTAAAAACAAGCATTTCCTGCTAATGCCTCCCAGGGTTTGATGCTTTACATCAACTCCCATCCCCACAGCGAGAAACGCTATTAGCTCTGAAAATTACCCTCGTTCCAGTTCTCATGACATCTCTCCCAGTACAGTGACCTTTTGGCAAGGGCTGTGAC